GATTGGTTAGCTGGGCCAGCGTGTGCTGTGATTGGTTAGCTGGGCCAGTGTGTGTTGTGATTGGTTAGCTGGGTCTGTGTGTGCTGGGATTGGCAGCACTCGGCGCCTGGTCGGGAAATGACACGCCCCTTACCATAGCTGCCTGCAAGCTTCTGTGTAAATATTGCGTCAAAATCAAATCAATTTGAGTGCGATTTAATCCCAGATGATTGTAACCACTTTAAATTCGTCTGTCTTGGGAAAGCTAGCGTGTCTGCGACATAGTGATAACACTTGTTGCCTTCTCTAGTGCAGCTCAACCAGGTATCGTCCCAGTCGTCGATATTTGTGATATCACAAATCCCGGAAAATATGCGTTGTAGTCCAAACGAGTCGTTCGTTGTAGTTTTTGAAAAGTGATTTCTGTTCAATAAAATATCTCCTTTTGAAGTGGAATTTGAACTTTGTAACTTTGCAGATCTTTTTTATGCTCAAACAGCAACATTACAGAATAACTAAAGTTGAAAAAGTGAAAAAGCATAATAGGAACCCTTTAAGTGAAAGTTCACCTCATCCAGTCCGTGTAGTAGAGGTTCTTTCCATCAGTAGTCAGTCCGAAGGGATACTGAATTCCCTCCATAAGCTGCCTCCGACTGCCCTGCTGCGGATTCATGCACTCTACTTTATGTGTACCTGCATCAGAAACACCAAACATCATCATTAACACAAACGAGACACTCAAACAGCTGTGACTTTACTGCACTAGTAAATGTTTCTCAGTGAACTGGAGGCGTACCAGCATCCGCCCAGCACAGCAGAGACGTCTGGGGGTCGTAAGTTAAACCGTTGGGGAGGCCCAAATCATCCTTGGCCAGGACCCTGCGATTGGTGCCGTCCATGTAAGCCATCTCGATTTTGGGGGCGTCCCTGTTCCAGTCGGCCCAGTAAATGTAGCTGAGGAAGAAAAAGAAAAGCCTTTACAATAACTATTTCACTGCAGAAAAAATGGTACTTTGGAAATCACTCAAATTCATAATGCTAAGAATGAGTGTTTTTTTGTAACAAAGCTGTAATCATGGTCTAAAACTAATGCAGGTGAAATGAGAAAAAGCAACCACCATAAATATCAGCCATGAAACTGTATTTTGCATTATTTTTAATATAACGTTATGCTGCTAAATTTAGGGTGCCTCTACACAGCCAAATTAAAGGGTTAGTTCACCGAAAAATGAAAATTAGTCCATGTTTTACTCATCCTCAAGGCATCCTAGGTGTATATGACTTTCTTCTTTCAGACGAATCCAATCGGAGTTATATTAAAAAATGTCCTGGCTCTTCCAAGCTTTATAATGGCAGTGGGTGTTTTTTTTTTTTTTTTTCAACAGTCCAAAAGACGTCAAATAAAGCGCATCCATAATTAATTAAACGTGCCTCACACAGCTTTGGGGGGTGAATAAAGGCTTCCTGTAGCGAATCAATGTGTTTTTGGAAGATATATCCATATTTAAAACGTTAGAAACTGTTTTCTCTAACTTCTGCTTTCCGTTCCCGAAAGCGCATGAAAAAACACTCGCCCACTGCCATTATACAGCTTGAAAGAGATGAGACATTTTTTAATATAACTCCGATTGGATTCATCTGAAAGAAGAAAATCATATAAACCAAGGATGCATTGAGGGTGAGTAAATCATGAGCTAATTTTCATTTTTGGGTGAACTAACCCTTTAAGGCTGCTCAGTGCCTGCTCAAAATTCAGTGTAAAGACATAATGCCACTTTAAAACCAGATTAGATTATGCCTGCTCTGCCACCTCTAAAGACACCTAAATGTCACTTAAGAAGCACTTCTTTGCTGTGTAAAATTGGCATGTGTAAAGAAACATTTATTATTGAATTGCTCACACGACTTACAAGGGTCAGATTATCACACTTCATTGTTATCAGTCTTATTGATTTAACCAAGCATTGCGTTGCATTTCTATCCAACTATATCTTTACTTGCCAAAATCACTTTTGTTAATTTTAGACGCTGGTTGTTTCTAGTTAGTCACGCACCCATTGGTGGGATCAGTTATGATGGCTCTCGGGTTAACCAGGTCTGTGTTAATCAAGACATGGCGCTGGGATCCGTCTAATGAGGAAACTTCAATTCTGTCCTTTATGGAGTCTGTCCAGAACACGTTTCTGCCCAGATGGTCGATAGCGATGCCTTCAGGACTGCTGAGATCTGACACAGAAATCAGTTTGAAAATCAGTGTCAGACAACTTCTTAAGATCCTATGAAATCAAAACTGATCTTTTGTGATCCACAGAAGACTGCGAATAGGTTTGGAACGATGCAATGAGTCATTTTTGGGTGAACTATTGGTTAAAATTGATGCTACCTAATTTAATGATGTGGACGGGTACTCCTCCTTGTAGACCAGCTTTGCTAATGGCAGGTGTGCTGATGTCTGTCCAATACACCATCTTCTCCACGCAGTCAAAAGCAATTCCAATCACCACTTTCTCCTGCAAAAACGATAAAAAAGACATGCATGGAACGACTCTAAAGCTGCCTTCAGGCATTCATATATCTGTCTGGCTGTGAACGGCTGTCTAGACAAAACGTGAAACCACACATCCAGAATCTGAGTCAGATGAGTCTTGGGCAAGCTTTGTTACCAACACATTTTTCCTTGCTTAATAAGCTTCACTGATGTTAGTCATTATAGTAAATGTTAGCATGTGAGCAGTAAATAAGAACAGATGGGATGTAGATTTATTCAAACTTATGATTTCCCACAGTACTGCACATAATAGGACCTAAAAAGTCAATTTCGTGGGTCAGTGGATGAAAATATAAACCTTGTGCATATGCTGCACGAGTAGCTTAACACAATAAATTGGCAATATAATCAGAAATAGCAAGAAACCATAATAAATTTGGGGTCAGTAAGAGTGCTTGGACTCAGCAAGGATGCATTAAATTGATCAAAAGTAACAGTAAAGACAATTATAATGTTACAAAAGATTTATATTTCAAATAAATGCTGCTCTTTTTAAATGTATATTTACTAAAGAATCCTGAAAATAAAAATGTATCACAGTTCCCACAAAAATATGAAGCAGCACAACCAGTGGTCGAATTGTAAAATAAATTCAAGGGTAATGGTGGGGATTTTTGTTGATAACGATAATTAATATTTTGCCGAGTGTGTTTTTGTGCTGGTTTAGGCTTGGATAAATAAATGACACTAAATTCGCCAGTAGGTGGCGGCAAGTGTCTGTTTTAATGAATGATTCATTGAACCCTTCAGTCAAACCATTCTTTCAAAATGGCTAATTCAATTAGTATGGAAGCAAGTTGACTGTCTTTATGAATGGATCATTACATAATTGGCTCAATCCATTCGTTCAAAAACAAATTAATTTAGGAAAAATACACCACAGTGTTGCTCTGTGACGCACAACAGCTCTGCTCCGGCTTTGTTTGGAACTATTTCATTTGCAAAACAGAAAAAAAAAGACAAAATGTGTCTAAAATGTAATGTAAGGATCATGTGACACTGAAGACTGGAGTAATGATGCTGAAAACTCAGCTTTGATCACAGCAACAAGTTACATTTTACAATATACAGTATATATACACATAGAAATCAGTTACTTTAAACTAATAATATTTCACAAAATGCACTGCATTTTGATCAAATAAATGCAGCTTTGGTGAGCACAAGAGACTTCTTTCAAAAACGTTAAAAAATCTTGAATACAGTTTTATACTTAAGAAACAGTTTAGTCAAGGGCGCCTGCAGAAAACATGCATGTTAACATCATTTTCCTTTGTAAATATTCTGCTCTGTTTCTCCTGGAATCCCTCCTCACATTCTAAAGTTAAGGAGGTTATGTAATCAGCAGAGGCAGCATATGGCTCTGAAAAACAATTTCTCTCACTAATATTTCCAAGAAAAACAAAGTTAAGCAATTCTAAAATTCCCCAGCAGTTCTCTGGCTCGGTGTTATCAACAGTTGAACTGAGAGAGACAAACTACGAGCAGAACACAAACCACAGTGACACGTTCGCTCTGCAGTTACTAACATCACTAAACAGCCTCTCCATTAATGCATTCCAGAGCTTCAAAACATCAGAGCAAAGACTTCTGGATGACTCTACAGACTGTACAGAGCATAGAGCAATTTTGTGAATAATTTGGCCTAAAACACTTCATGACAATTTATAACCAACACAAGTATGTGTTGCGCTCTCGGGCGTTAGTAAAAGGCTTTACCGGGAGGTGCAGTGCAGTTTTAGCTTCGTTCTTCTTCAGGTTGTGACCTTCCAGAGGAATATACTCAATCTTCCCGCTCTGGGCGAAGAGGATGTGGCTGCCAGGAGGCAAAGGACTGACGTTAGGATCGGGTGTTGGTCCAATCGGGCGAGGGACATCATGACCAGGACCTGAGGAACAGAAGATGCATGATTATAAATGACTTAATTTATAATCATATGACAATTCACCACCTATGTGTACAGTAATGGTCAATGTGGCAATAAAAATGTATTAGTACAAAAATTGGCATTGATGTCATATGTTGTTACAATTCTAAAATTCCCCAGCGAGCCCCCAGCAGTTCTCTGGCTCGGTGTTATCAACAGTTGAACTGAGAGAGACAAACTACGAGCAGAACACAAACCACAGTGACACGTTCGCTCTGCAGTTACTAACATCACTAAACAGCCTCTCCATTAATGCATTCCAGAGCTTCAAAACATCAGAGCAAAGACTTCTGGATGACTCTACAGACTGTACAGAGCATAGAGCAATTTTGTGAATAATTTGGCCTAAAACACTTCATGACAATTTATAACCAACACAAGTATGTGTTGCGCTCTCGGGCGTTAGTAAAAGGCTTTACCGGGAGGTGCAGTGCAGTTTTAGCTTCGTTCTTCTTCAGGTTGTGACCTTCCAGAGGAATATACTCAATCTTCCCGCTCTGGGCGAAGAGGATGTGGCTGCCAGGAGGCAAAGGACTGACGTTAGGATCGGGTGTTGGTCCAATCGGGCGAGGGACATCATGACCAGGACCTGAGGAACAGAAGATGCATGATTATAAATGACTTAATTTATAATCATATGACAATTCACCACCTATGTGTACAGTAATGGTCAATGTGGCAATAAAAATGTATTAGTACAAAAATTGGCATTGATGTCATATGTTGTTATGTAAGTTTAGCTTCATCAGCTGCAGCAGTGGCTTTGTTCCAAAAACCTAATGAGCTGCCTATGCAGGTACTGTATTTTAGGACAGTGTTTGTCAACCAACAGGCCTCAGGAGTCTTTCAATGGCCTACAAGATAGCTTAAAACTATTTAAAATGCGACTAAACGAGCTTTGAAGTAAAAGTTTAGATGTTGACTATTTGTCAGCACAACTGTTTTCAACATTGCTAATAATCAGAAATGTTTCTCGAGCAGCAGATCAGCATATTATACTGATTTCTGAAGGATCATGTGACACTGAAGACTGGAGTAATGATGCTGAAAATACAGCTTTGATCACAGCCGCGAATAAATTGCAGTTTACAATATATTCACATAAAAATAATCTATTTTAAATAGAAATAATGTCTTACAATATTAGTTTTTACTGTATTTCTAAAATTAATGCAGGCTTGGTGAGCAGAAGAGACTTTATTTCAAAAATATAGAAAAAAATCTCTCTGACTCCAAACTTTTGAACGGCCTTGGAGCCAAAAAGGTTGCGAACCTCTGTTTTATGCCATCCTGCTCCTGACACTAAAGTAGGCAAAATACATGCGTCCTTCCAGAATGCATTGCAACAAGCAATATGTGTCTTATGTACTTTTATGCTTACAAGAATATTGCAACAATATTTCAGAATTAGTCAGTGATGATTGTCGTTTCAGTTAGTCTGCTGACTTATAAGACAGTTCTCTCTGTAGACAGCAAAGCAGCTCTTGGTTTTGGAACAGAGTCTTTATGAGTAAAGCATGTGTAGGACTCACACTCAGGAAAGCGCCCGGGTCCCGTTCGCGTCCCAGAGATCTCCAGTCCATCGCGGTTCACACACCAGCACTGCCCTGCACTGGCATGACACTGCATGGGGTCGTACTCGCCCTGGGAGTCACAGGTCGGCACATACTGACCGGATACAGGACGGGGGCCGCGGGGCCCAGCGCCCAGAACGCTATCTCTATGCAGCTGGCAGCGCGTCTTCTCATATTCTGCACAGATACAAATACACACACAGTTAACCCTATAAACCTTACCTACTGTATCATATTTGACATGCAAAGCCTCTAAATGATCAACATGATCAAACCTTGCTGTTTAAATTTGCTGTTAAACACACTCAATCTACTCCATGCCTTCTGTCGTCTGATTGATAGTTTAGACATTTTTTTATCAAGTTAAAGCTCTTTTAGTGTAATTGTACAAAAGTCCACCTTCAGCTTGTGCTTCACGCATCTTTTTGCTGTCAAATCTTGACTGATTTTTAGTAGGGACGCATAAAATCATGAGTATGTTTTGATTTAAAGGTCAGAAGCTATAGCTTACATGAAAAAAAGAATTACAAACATGGCACTTACATTAAATAATTTTATATATACTTGCTAATTTATTCATTAATGTGTAATATGTTATATTTTTTAAACAAATTATGAGCTCTAAAAGATTTCTGTATGAGCTCTTTTGCTTTAGACCTTTTACAAATGTTATCATAAAATAAAATGCTAAGGTTACCACCGCATCTTTCTGAAAAAAAAATGCAGTGATTAATATATCGTTTATTTATAGTTCAATCATGACAACTCTCGGAACATTTTAGCATGGTGATGGATATGGCAATGTTAATGTATTTGGTCTTGGTGGAATAGATCTGCTACGCTGCTGCTGCTGAATTGCTGCTGCTGTTGGTTATTGCTGTAGTTGTAGATTATTGCTGCTGCAAGCAAGTACAGGAACTTGCTACTGCCAATGCATATGTCGATACGGTGCCGTGAGTATTTAAGACATACTGCTGCTGCACAAATAGCATATAAAATAACCCCGTAGCAGATCTATACAGGTGGAGCTGGGGAAGGTGGAGGGTTTCAGAGAACTCTGAAAGCGCGCTGCAGGAATCTCTAGTGAATGCTAGCCAGCCATATAAATGCAAGGCAGTAAGCTCATTGGCTGCATATGCAGCATGAACCAATCAGCTTGTGCCAAGTCGTTTAACTCTCTGAATATCATCAGTTACGTTAACAACCCGTCAGAATGCGCCATCTAGAGTTTCATGACTGAACTGTATATTTATTTCCAAATCTTCAATGTACTGTCATTATAAAATAACTTTATTATTGTTTATTTAATTCTAACAAATAAGTTCCTGTAAAAAACTATCCAAAATTAATAATAATTATATATCGGTATCGGCATCGGCTATTGGCCAAAATGATTTGAAAATTATTGGCATATCGGATATCGGCAAAAATACAATATCGTGCACCTCTAATTTTTAGTAAACGTAAGAATAACTTTAGTGATATTTCCAGATGAACACTTACTGGACTGAAGCAACTTTGCTTATCTGATGAATTGAATCATGAATAATTTTTTTGAAAAATCTCAAGTCTCAAATACGATTGTCAGACTTTTGAGGAGCGTTTAGCATCATTGGATTGCATTGCATTATATGTTTTGATCATTTAAATCTCATCTTTCGAAGACATATTATTGGAGATATAGAGGGATGTCTGATATTTGTATCATTTTATGTAAGTATCTGCTGTACTGTTATAAAGATCTCATTGATTTACATTACAAGCAGCAGATTTTCATCACTTTTTGTCCCTATAAATATCAGCATCTGTGCCCAATTGCATATTTTTGCTCAGTTTGGGCCTCTGAATAAAACTAAAACGGTTTTTCTAACTATTCTTTCATATGCTTCAGTCTATATTATTGTATAAAGCGCTACATAAATAAAGGTGACTTGACTTTTTTCAAGTGCTTTAGGCTTTACAGGGTTAAAAAGCACATAAACTTGATAGTAGTAGTGCATTTATTGCATACCTGCTCATGCTATTGTATTTTACAGAGCCAGACTTTTGACTTTTGGTTTTTATTTGCAGTTTAGAGATTGTCTGGCTAACATGAAAAGCGACTGACCCACATAGTATGTGAAAAGTATTTGCAATGTCAACCAGCGGAGGCTCAATGCTAAAGTTAACCTGTCAAACACTGACCCCTGGGCTTATGCAGACAGTCAACAGATCCAGGATCGAACTTCATCTCTTTCTAAGAATTTCCAGTATTTCCACTGAAAAGCAATCAGTGCAACAGCTCTGGGGTTAAATCTGAAACAGATATGCTCATGTGAGCTGCTGCGGTACATTACATCAGTCTAAAGAGCTCCGTCTGCTCGTCCCTGGAAAGCAAATCAGGTTACAATAACAAAACTCAACGCTCTGCAGACTAATCAATACCATTACTACCACAATCATGACAGAGCTCATAGTCGACATGACACACTGAAGACAAACATGCCTTAGGCAATACAGGGCTCTCAAACTAGATTTTAAAGCGTGTAAAATCATTTCAGTCTGAACCAGAATATAAAGTCATGCTCCACAGAGTCTGTTTTGAATTATTAAGTTAAATCTCAGGAAAAGCTGAGTATCCTGACTATCCAGGTCATATTTTGCATAAAAATTAGGTCTATATTTAAAACAAATGTAATTTTATATATATATATATATATATATATATATATATATATAACTTCAAAAATCATACTATCTTCAAAATCAGATACCTTATATTTAAGAGAGACTTCATTTAGAGTTTTTATTTTTTGGGAAATTAGATTTTCATTATTTTTAAAATACTATTCGAAAAGAAATAGACTGTAAATTTGAAGTGTTTACATTTAGAAATTAAATGGAATAATCAGGATTTAAAAAAATATTTTAGTATAAAGTCTATTATTATGCTCACCAAGGCTTATCCTATTTGATCCAAATATAGTAGAAAACAAAAATATTTGTATTTAAAATAACTGTTATCATTTTGGATATATTTAAATGTGGCATTTATTCCTGAATTTTCTGAAGGACCATGTGTCTTCCATGTGACACAGAATAAATTACATTTGACAATATATTCACCTAGAAAACAGCTATTTTAATTTTATTTTGATTATTTTGATCAAATAAATGCAGCACTGGTGAGCAGTACAGACTTCTTTCAAATATATATATATATATATATATATATATATATAAATAAACAAACATAATTATTTCAAACTTTTGACCGGTGTTGTACACTTCTGCTAAAAGTTTATTCTGGCAGTTTTAATGACAACATATATGACCTTCAAGCTCATAAAATTCAACAATACTGATGCCATGGGGTCCTAAAACTCTTTGAAACCAAAGCAGCTGGTCAGTTCCCAGCAGACACGCAGCTGTCAAGCTGATTTTCATGGCGGCAGGGTTAAGCCGCGACACACCTCAGGGGTCAAGAGGTCAGGTCGTGTTGTAATATTTAAAGAGTGGAGGGTCGTCTCTCATTAGAACGACTGATACGGTTTGTGACATGAACTGTGGGTAAAAGGGCTCCGAAATAACAGCATAAAGAGCTGTTGTCTACTTTAAACTTTGTGATACTGTAGTGTTGCTCAAGGCTGGATGCTCATGCAATGACGCGCAGATGATTCTCCAAACCCAAGCGTCCAAAAACCTAATGAAATTCTCCAAATATGCTAGAAATGGCTTTAGTGGTATGTAGCAGAACTATGAATAAACCAGCAAAGCTGTTTGTGAAGGTTATGGGTCTGAATGAATGAGCACAACAAAACCAAAAGACACAACGGATGTTCATTTACAGCTAAGGTCTACCTGTAGAGCAGTGGAAACCATCGCCATAGAAACCAGGGTTACACTGACAGGTGAAAGATCCAGGTGTGTTGAAGCAGACGGCATTTTCATGACACTGATTCACCTGACACTCGTCTATGTCTGAAAGAGAGAAAGACAGAAACAAACAAAGAAAATGTACCAGTTAAATTAAAAATGTTTTGCAAAGAATTATGTCAAATGTTTTAAAAATAAAAAAGAAAATGAAATATTTATGATCCCATTTATACGTATTAATGTTTAGAAAAAAATATATGTAAAATGCTTTACATTTTATTTTCTACAGCTGTTTCTGATTTTATTACGTCATCCGCTGTGCTTCGTAGGAAGGAAAGAAAGGAAATAAATGAATAAGAAATTAAATTTTACTTAAAGAAATTTTTTTTGCATTTAAACGGCAATTAAGCACAGTGAAAATGTTTAATAAATGTAAATGATCTTTTTTTTTATTAATTATTATAAATGAAATAATTGGATAATACATTCATTATAATTAAATAATAAATGTTGAAATTTTAAACAAATGTATTACATTTAAATAGTGGATAAATGTAATAACTTATGTAATGAAGCTGAAAAATGAATGAATTGTGCAGGAGTGACTGGAAACAGAAATGAAAGCAGATCACAGCTGTGTGTGTCTGTTTTCCCTCTCGGCTCATAATCACACTGAGGCCAAGTCCATTAACATCATGCCAAGTCATTTATATTTCTCTGACAACTAATGAAGATTTGCAGATGTAGAAAATCCTGCATTTACAGCAGTGGCTGACTAATAGGAGTTTTAATGACCAATATACATATGAAATTAAAAAATAAAGATTAAAGGCAAAATTGATGTATTCAAATGAAATTAAAATTATTATAATTTTTTTTTTTAAAAGTACACTATCTATTGACCAGACTGTTGAATATACACTAGGCCGAATGAACACTTCTATTAATTAATCAATCATGCAAATAAATCACCAACAATGACCAAATATCTGCTGATGGATCAGCCTGGAAAACATTAAAATGGTGTGTATTCTTCTAATAAATCTTATGAATGAAAGCATGTCTGTATAGAGAGGCAGAGGCCCACCCTGACAGCTGCGTCCATCTCCCATGAATCCCGGCAGGCAGGTGCAGATGTAGGAGGATCCTCCGGTGTAGCTGCAGCGAGCGCGTTCAGGGACGTCACAGTCATGAGTGCCGATGCGACACGGGTCCACGGGACGCTGCACCTCTACAACACAGCACGACTGAGAATGACCAATATACATATGAAATTAAAAAATAAAGATTAAAGGCAAAATTGATGTATTCAAATGAAATTAAAATTATTATAATTTTTTTTTTTTTAAAGTACACTATCTATTGACCAGACTGTTGAATATACACTAGGCCGAATGAACACTTCTATTAATTAATCAATCATGCAAATAAATCACCAACAATGACCAAATATCTGCTGATGGATCAGCCTGGAAAACATTAAAATGGTGTGTATTCTTCTAATAAATCTTATGAATGAAAGCATGTCTGTATAGAGAGGCAGAGGCCCACCCTGACAGCTGCGTCCATCTCCCATGAATCCCGGCAGGCAGGTGCAGATGTAGGAGGATCCTCCGGTGTAGCTGCAGCGAGCGCGTTCAGGGACGTCACAGTCATGAGTGCCGATGCGACACGGGTCCACGGGACGCTGCACCTCTACAACACAGCACGACTGATTCAATTAACTGATGCAGATACATGTGAAACAGTCTGAATATCCCTGCAGGAATGATACATCACAAAAGAGATCTCTTAAATACAGGGTTCGTACACATTTTTACCAATACATTTCCATGACTTTTCCATGACTTTTGAGACAATATTCATGACCTAAATGTTCCATTATTTTACAATAAGAATAAAAATCTGTTCAAATTATCATAGCATATGTTAACTAAAATGAATGAATATTAATGCTACTCGTTTGCTTTCTTGTTTTAGTAATAAATACAAGCAGCAACTGCGCCAGACCTTACTCCACATTTCACATCACTGAATATTATCATTTATTTAACTGTGTGGCCAGGATGGCCATTTTGGTGTCATTTTGTGTGTATTTTTGCTGCTTAAATGCAACAATCTGCGCTTTAGAGCCCTGCATTTCAGCCCGAGCCCAACGGCCCCAACTTATTTATGGCTTCGGGACAATTTTCACGTCATAGCTCAGACACGGGGCAGGCATCAGGCTTGCTTCCTCCTTATGTTTATATTCTAGATATCCATCAATTCTTATGGTGATGACAAAGATTTGCCGCGCTGGTGGAAACAACACGAGACCGTGCTACCGCGACTGTCAAGAGTGGCTCGGACGGTGTTTAGTGTCCAGCAGCAGCGAGTGCTGGAAGAGTTCCATGTTAAAGCACACACAAAGCTGCGCTTTAACTTGATGATCTGAATCAGGTGTTCATTTTTGTGAAGCACTCCTGCTCAAGACCGAGACAGCAGAAAGCATATACTGTTTGTTTTCTAACAAAGCACACCGTATGCTGATATTGTGAGTGCACACAAATAAAAGTAGACCCTTAACAGTCCCGAATGATGTATTACTCTTACCTTTATGAGCAAAAATAACTGGTTGTTTCCACTGTTATAAGAAAAAAAATGCAAGTGATCGTGCTGGCGACTCCATGTCCTGCAAAGTGCGCTTTAGCTTCTCTGCACAAACGATTGGATACGCTCCTAATAGCACACATTTATCTAGGTTAACCATTTAAACTAACATTGTTTTTTAAGCATTTTATATAGGCCTATAGATTTTATTTTAGTCAAGAGGTGATTATTTGAGAAGGCTAAATTGATCAAACATAGGCTATGATTAATTCACTGTCTGCCACTGGCCGCTTGGTCGTTACTTTAAAAAAACAAAAACTTGAATTTAACAAACAAAAACATTTTCCAAACATATGTCTAAAATATATATATAACCACTTTTGTCATTAAAAACGAAATGGAACTATTTTAATGGCTACAACAGCAGCTGTGTAATTGGGGAAGAGAGAAAGAGAAAAAATGTGGATGTGACTGCGCACCGTCTCTGGAGCGCGCGAGTACCGAATGGCTTAAAAAGACGTGCAAATAAATAATAAAATTTTCTGACGATGCAACAATGACCCGATTAGGCAAGTGACAATTCTGTCAACTGTCCCGAAATGCGAGTGAAAGTCTTGTATCGCAGCGTGCAGCGGCTCTTGTAGCGCAGACAAGAGTGTGAAGAGCCGATGTGAAGCCGTTTGAAGAGAAAGTCAAAGAGAGAAGACGCGTACAGCTGAATCACTCACGCTGTTTTCAAATGACTGATTTGATCAGTCTGTGTGGACTGGACTCAGTCTGTAGGTTTGATTATTTACTCATCAAACCTACATGCTATAGGCTTTTGAATAAATGTGTGAATATCCATCATTTTAAATTCAAAAGCCGCGGGAATGAGTAAAACGATGCGCAATCCCGCACCGAAATTCAGGACCTGATTAAACACAATTCTATTATACAGTCTTGTGAAATAGATTTCAATGACTTTTCCAAAACTTTCTGGGTTTATTTATTTTTCCAAAACTTTTCCAGGCCTGGAAATTGGTGTTTTAAAATTCCATGACTTTTCCAGGTTTTTCATGACCGTACGACCCCTGTAAATATCTCAATCTCATTTCTCACAGACAGAAATGAGATTTAGATGAGACTTTTGAAGAAGCCTACAGCTTCGTTGATGTTTTAATGAGAAAAAGATCCCTCTAATCTCCTTTAGAGATGTTTTGCTTTACAAAAAACTCTCTCAGACTGTGATTCAGAAGTCACAGATGTCTACTATATATATATATATATATATATATA